TTTTAAAAGAAACATTAGAATTTTTATCCAAAAAAAAAAAAAAAATCTAATTTTTAAAATTTGGTTTGGATTTAGTAAAATTCATAAAAGTTGGTGAATAAAAAAAGAAACTCAAATTTATAAGTTTAATTTTATAAAACCAAAAAACTGTGTAATTATCAAATATGGCATAAACTTTTTAAATTTCTATATGAATCTTGTTTACGTAATAAAATTTCGATACATGTCAAATAAGATAACAATTAGAACGGTTAATATAATCATATAGTAAAGTTTAAACATGATATATAGACGACATTTTGTTCAGGTATGTGATAAGGTTAGGGTTAAAACCTTTTTACAGCAAACACGAGAATTAGTAAACAATCAAATTTTGGTAAGTCGAGATTTGATTCTGTGTCACACTTAGCACATGCATGCATGAATAATTGAGATGAAAACAGGATTAAAGCTTTTTTTAGTATGCAGAAATGGACAACCAAATAAAGAAATTATAGTGAGTTTGGTATTGTGTTGGCCTCATCTTGTCTTTGTTAAAAAGACAAAGCCCCTTAAGTCATATGGCATGTGAGAATATTCCCTTCCTTTTAAGCACACCACAATCTCTGCCACTAATTTTTGTGATACTTGCTATACACTATATACCTCTTCTTAAGCATTCATAAGACTTCTTATTATAAGCACCCATTTTCAAGGCCTTTACTTTTACGAGTGTCTAGCTATAGAGTTATGAGACTTACTCGTGTTCGTTCTTGTTCAAAATTTATCTAGGATTTGGATCGAGATTTAGAATTCAAATTCAGCACTTGATGGTCTCAGTGTTTCACATTATCTACGTTTTATTCTTAGGAAAATTCTCAAAACGTCATCTAACATCAAATTACTCTAAGCAAACCACGTTTAATTTTGAAGTTCCTATATTAAGCTATCGAAAAAGAAAGGTTGTAATAACCTATGCTCAGGATTTGGCACCGACCAACATTCTCTTGTGTCATGGTCACTTTACTTACTCGTTGCTTCTAAGAATGAAGAGTATCCCCACCAACCAACATGAATCCTAGGATATTTTAACCTCACTCACATGTATCCTAGGAGGTCACCCAACAAAGAATTGCTCCAAGCAAGCAAAACACGTTTAATCATGAAATTCCTATGATTCCATGATTGAACCATTGAAAATGAAAGTACATTTTGTCAGTATAGATAATAACTTTTATTTGTCATTCTATCCACAAAGATCGCTCTCATTCAAATGTGGTCTCAGTTACTTCATGTACTTCTCTCTTACTTAGGTATCACAAATGTGCACGTTATTGGTATAGGTAACAACTTTCAATTCTTTTAACCCTTTCTTAACCATCATATCCTCAAAATCGCTCTCATTTATATATGCTCTCGATTCTTTTATTTATCTCTCATTTACTCAAGGTCACATAAAAGATGGATGAAATAAATTTATGGTGTCTTAAAAGGTAAAGAAAAACGAAAGAAAGGAACAAAGTAGGTTGATTAGTTTTATTTCTTGTTCACATATGGCTCGAAATTCTAGTTATCTCAATCACGGGCGTAGTAAGCACTAATTTCAAATTTAATCATGTTTGGGATTGAGATATCGTAGGATTTGACTTTAAAGGTAGGTTTCCACAGGATTAAATTTACCTCTTTTTCGATCCTGCCAAGAGGATCAAGGGTCCCTACACTTATCTCAAGACGTTTGGTTCACGAGTTAGACTCGTACAATCAAGAGTTGAGCAACCGAACCAATCTCAAAACTATATAAATTCGTATTACATAAAGCATATAAAATTCATTTTTTAAACCACAAAATTTTTATAAATCATAAATTCAAAAACCAAAAATGCAAAAATAATAATAATAATAATAATAAATCTCTCTGTCTCTCTCTCTCTCACAAAACACGTTTCCACTTTTGGTTAAGTAAACACGACAAGAAAACAGATCGAGTGCTATTATCAAATCAAATGACTAAAACCGACAAAAATAATAATAATAATAATAATAATAATAATTTGTTATAAAAAATGGTCCCAACTTTCAGGCCGTTATATAAATTTATTTAAACATAAACAACCCTTCCAATTTACCTACCCTACAAAACCATACCATTTTAAACCGGAACAAACTACCATTTATAAGGACGTAGAAACTTTCTTTTAGTAGATGAGTTTTAAAGCGGGAAGCTCGAAAGAGAAAATCTAAAGAGGACAATATCTTCTAGCAGTGGATCTGGGCCGTTATATTATTAGTAACAAATACTATTTCTATTGGTATAAGACATTTTGAGTAAGCTAAAAGTAAATCCATGAAAGTTTCGGAGGTTCATGATTCCTAACATGGTATTAGAATCATGCTTTTAACTTAGCCATATTGATAAAATTATTAAGTGTCGAAAAAAAAAATTGTGAACCTCGAACGTGAAGTCAAGGTGATTTAAGATAAGTTGCGTTTTTTCAAAGAGTATTATAGGTCCATGTTCCGTAGTTATTATTTTATTATTTATTTATTTCATTTTTCAAATTTGATTTTTGCTTTTTCATTGTTTGATAGCTGGCTAATTTTTGGATTTTGTTTCGCCTAATCATTTTATTATATTTATTTTCTTGTTTTTAAACTATGGTTTTGGAGTTGTTATGTGCATCATAATAATAAGAGAATGTTACCTTTTAACTTATGGAAACATTTTTAAAATAATGACTAATTATAAAGTTTTCCCCATCCAAATTGCATTTGTATAAATATTAGGATCTTTTATTTCCATAATTATATTATATTGTTGTATTTACGATTAAACTAATATAACCTAAACTTATCTAGCTCTGATGCCATTTGTATGTATCTATTTTGGCACACCGCCTCGTGTCTACCCCCTTTCGGGGAACAATGAGAACGCTAGCACATCGTCCGATATTTAGCTCTGATACTATTTGTATGTAATGGCCTACATCTACTGCTAGCAGATATTGTCCTCTTTGGACTTTCCCTTTCAAGCTTCTCTCAAGACTTTAAAATGCTTGGTAAAGTTTTCCATAGTCTTATAAATGGTTTTGTTATAACCAAGGCAGAACATCACAAACTTGGCTTTCAGCAAACATACTCATTAGAGTAATTACTTAACAACAAGATTTTTATAATTTAAAAAAATACTTTTCAAAATTAACGAACGAAGTTTAATGATATTTTTATTAAGTTAATCAAACAAAAAGAAATGGTGTGGGTCTCGATTAATAATGATTGAGAACGAGATTGACTACCAACCCACTTAATAAAATGGAATTGAGTGCTTTTTTAAGGATTACTAATTCGAGAACGAGACCCACAATTAATTTCTATTGCAAAATTTGTTAAAAAATAATTGAGTAAATGAGAAATATATAAATGATCCGAGATTATATTTGAATAAGAACGATCTTGAAAATAAATATAACTAAAAAAAATTTAAAAAATTGAAAGTCACTACTTATGTAAATACGATGTACCTTTCTTTTTTGTGGTTCAATTATAATAACTCTTAGGTTAAGCTTACCATCTTTATTAAATGTGGAATATATTTATTTTTATTTTTATTTAAAATTTGGGATTATTTTCATCATTTTTTTAATTATTTATTATGATTTTTATAAATATCTTAAAATAAAAAACTGAATTCATAGTAAATTTCAAAAATAAAAATACATTTAATTATTTTTATTTAGATTTTTAAAATAGATAACGGAATAAAAAAATTCATAACTAAAAATGGATTTGATTTTTTAAAACTAAAATAAATTATTATCAACCTAACCTAGTTTTTAAAAATTATCTAAACAAATTAATGTATTTTATTTATAAAAAAAAGATTAATTAATATAGGATAGTACGACGTCGTTATTACATTGGTACGTACAGCTGCAGAAACTTTCAAATTTGATAGACCTGTGTCGGTCACTTTCCGAATCCCACGTGGTGGAACCCACACTATCCGATCTTTCTAACTAATATATTTTTTAATTATTTTCTGATGCATGAAAAACAATTAAATTATAAAATTATTACGTATTTAGTCTCAAAAAGTATTTTCAAAATTTTTAAAAATATTTAGTTAGAAAAAAAAAAAACATTAATAATTTATTTCAAAAATAATATTAAAAAAAATACTTCTAATTTTTAAAATATTTTAATAGTATCATAAAAAATATGATAATTAAAAAATAATTATGAAATTTTAAAAATAATTTTTTTTTTTTAACATTAATCTATGAACGAAAATCGTTTATCTTCATCTTATAGATTAACATAAAACATTTTAATGTTACTTTTGAAACTTTTCGAGTATTTTTTTTAAACGTATAAATTGGTATTTTTTAGATTAAATGTAAAATTTATGGTTTTTTTTTTTAATTCAGCTTTTTCTTTTTCTTAGAAAAGGGTATTGAAGCTTAGTGTAAAAATTAGAAAATTTAAAACCGATAGTTACTCGTTGACTTGTACGTTGTCATTTTTACTATAAATTTTTAGATGCTCCTCCCTATCGATCAAGCAGCAAAGTTACTCGTGATAGGCTGAGTTTGAAGCTGCTATCCTTTAGTTCGAATAAGTTACCTGGTCGAAGATTCAGTCCAGTATAGTAGGTAGCAGGCTCGTTTAGACTCTCGAGCGAGAACGAGAAATAGGCGTTTTCGTGTCGAATAACCCTTCTTTTAAAAAAATGTAGGTCTAAGTGTCATTTTTTATTTTTTATTTACGATTTTATAACATGGTTTAATAATTTAATTAAAGCATAAAGAATAGTTTTTGAAAGTTTAAATTATTATATTAAGAAAAATGCCTCTTCCATTTATACCCTTAAACCCAAATTATAATATTCATTAAAGAAATGGAAAAAGGTTGCAGTGGGCCCCAGTTTATGTTGTTTTTTTTGGGTACCCTTTTGAGTACCGTACATCTCATTACACCTTTTTCAGTTTCTATTGAAGCTCTCATTATAAATATTGAATTTCATCGCTTTCTTTTCTTCTCCATCTTCTCCCATTTCTCCGATCTTCCGCCGTTGCCGGATTCTGACGACCTCCTCTCCTCTCCGATAACCGTTCCTCCTCCCTTTTAGCTTTTGTATGGCAGTGAGCTTGTTTTCGCATGACGTTTCTGATCTCTGTCTCGGCAAGCCAGCGCTGAGGCTGTTGTCTTTGTCCGCAACTGTCGCCGACGCCTTGACTGCTCTCAAATTCTCCGACGATTACTTCGTCAGCGTTTGGGACTGCCGTTTGGCGAAGAACGGTTGCGGTGGCGGTGATGTTGATGGTAGTGCTGACGGTGGTGATTTTGAGTGCTGCCGATGCGTGGGGAAGCTGTGTATGGTGGATGTGATTTGCTATCTCTGTAGGGACGAGAATTTGTTGTCGCCTTCGGCTGCATTGTGTGCTCCTATCTCTGAGATTTTGCCACAAATTCCTGGAATCGTGATGCATTTGGAGCCGTCTGCTAGGTATAGAAATGAATCTGATGAAATTTGGATCTCTATTTTTCCTTTCTTAGGATTGTTTCAATTTATTCTTTAATTAGTTCGTTTCTGAATGATTGTTAATGGCTGCGTTTTATTGATGTTTGAGTTTGATATTGATGTTCTTCAATTAGGTTTCTGAAGTTTTGTCAGTTACTGATCTGAAATGGGCGTTACAGAACTTTTTTTTCAAACTCAGCTTTGAAATGTTTGTTTCTTTCCTTAGCTCTTCTACTTTTACTCTCAGACTTTATATGATTCTGAACTTGTAAAGAGAATAGTAGAGTTGTGTAAAGTTCTTAAAGATGAAGATAACTGAAGTCTCTATGTTGATATTCCAGCTTGCTAGATGCCATTGATCTGGTTCTCCAAGGTGCTCAAAATCTTGTAGTCCCAATTAAGGCTAAGCTAGGAAGCAATTCAAGAAGGAAGCAGCTTAAAAACCCCACAAATGCCATCCATGGCGGCCGTGAATTCTGCTGGCTGACTCAGGAAGATATAATCAGGTATCTCCTCAGCTCAATTGGCCATTTTTCCCCCATTGCTGCCCTCTCCCTTGACAACCTTGGCATCATCTGCACCAATGCCTTATCAATAAACTACCACTCCCCTGCCTCCTCTGCCATTGGAGCCATATCCCGCTGCATCGCCAATCAAACCTCTGTAGCAGTCGTCGATGCTGATGGAATTCTGATTGGTGAGATCTCACCCTTTGCCCTTGCCAGGTGCGACAAGGCTGTTGCAGCTGCGATTATGACATTGTCTTCTGGAGATCTGATGGCCTACATTGACTGTGGGGGGCCTCCAGAGGATCTTGTTAAGGTAGTGAAGGCTAGGCTGAAAGAGAACAACTTGGAAGGAATGCTGCAAGAATTCACTAATTCACCATCCTCAATTGGATCTCCATCTTTCACTTCTTCATCCTCTGATGAGGAGTTCTCCCCATCTCCGAGCTCAAGAAAGTACAGAAGATCATCAAGCTACTCGGCACGAATCACTCGTCGTTCCGAGGCCATCGTTTGTCATCCAAGGAGCTCCCTGATAGCTGTTATCATCCAGGCAATCGCGCACCGTGTGAACTATGTTTGGGTTATCGAAGACGACTGCAGTTTGATCGGAATCGTCACATTCCTTGATATGTTAAAAGTTTTCAGAGAACATTTAGAGACAAGTGAGTAGGCAGACAGAGTTTCAAGCCATTTGGCTTAGAATTTTTGTATCCCCTTCCCTTTTCCTACATTGTCTAGAATAAAAAATTGAAAAGTCCAAAGCTGTGTGGCCTAGTTGAGACAATTGGGTTTGTGTTATTTGTGTTGTTTTGTTTGTCTATAAACGTTTGGGATCTTCATGTTTCAGCCTTCTTGTGTTAAAGAAGCTTTGAAACAGAGAGTGCAGAAATGGAGATTTCTATGCGACCACTTTTGACCATATTTTATGCCTTTAAGAATGATGAGCTACCATGATTAATTAATTCAAGCAAACCCTGAGTATTGTAAAACTGAATAAAAGAAGACAAAAAAGTAGCCATTTTCCAAATATGGGATTACACCTCACCAGTCATTTGAATATTAGGGCTGTTGTCTTCATTTGGTTTATTGTTAATGCAATATTTGTTCATTTAATTTTGTGGGGTCGGTGGGTCACAAATGAGGTGGATAATCTTTGTTTACACGAAAAATGAAAAGAGAAGGAGAGAGGAAAAATGAGTCGGGGACCAAGATTATATTCTTCGACTCCATCTCCAACTCGAGTCGTCACCCATCGTAATTATTTATTTATAATTATATTATAGTAATGAAAACAATGTTATAATAATGAAATTTAAATTTGAAAATATTAAGTTGGTTGAACAATATAATTTTGCTTATTATTTTTATTTGGATTAATCAGGCTGAGAAACTTTAGTAACAAAAGCAGTAAAAAACTGAACGAAAATAGAATGTTTTCAGTCTTCTCTTTCACAGAGTAATGCAAAACCGTTACAGTGATGAATGAATTGACAATGGAGATTGTGAAATGTTAATATCAAACATAAAGTTATAAGTTTATAAAGTGATGATAACAAGTAGGTTAATTACCCAGATTCTGAAGCAGCACTCTCATCATCCAAATCTTGGACAAGGATTTCAGTGGGTTCAAGGCAGCCTCTCAGAGATTCAAGTCCCAATTGTGCTCGTTCGTTATCTCCGAAGCCGAAGAGTTTTCCTTTGTCAGTTACTACAACGGTGTGATACAGCCCGGTGCTGATTTGAGACACGCAGTGAGCTCGTAAGCAGTTGAGGCTTCGAGGGCTCAAGACTTTGTCAGATACTCCTCTGTCAGGAAATCCAAGGCTGCCAAACCCCATCCATCCAAAGCCATAAACAATACCAGTGTCAATCAACACAAAAGTTTTCCTCTTTCTTGCACAAACCTGGAACGAAACAAAAGCGTTATCAAACAAATCGTAAATAATACGATCTTATCTAGATGATGCAAGATACGTGACATCAAATGTTTCAAGCCTGTGCTATGAGCTTACTTCAGCATCAGAGACTAAAAATGCAATTAAGAATCACACAAGAAAGCTATACAGATTTAGTTTGGTGAACGTCGTCGATACCTGTACGGCAAGGTGGTTCTTAAGGCTGTTCAGGGGTTGAGGAATAGTCTTGTCAATCTCATCTCCATGGCCCAGTGCACCACAGTAGCCTTTTCCCCAAGTATATACCTGCAATGAGAAATCAACAAAATAGATGTCATAAACTATAACCTAGGATGTTAATCAGGTTACTATGCTGATCTTGAGTTTGGGAACTAACAAATCCATTAGAATCTAATGCCACTGCATGCTCATCCCCAGCAGAGACCGAAACGATATGAATATCCTTTAATCTAAATGTCTGGAGAACTCGAGGCTGGAACTCGTTGTGCTGCTCCCCATGGCCAAGGCAGAAATTAGACCCTGACCCAAAAGAGTATAATCTCCCATCATTAACTACGGCCAATACATAGCTTGGACCAGCGGAGATCTGAATTACAGATCCAATTTCCACAAGCCGTTCGACAACCTTTGGAGTAGATTTCTCTAATGTATCACCATGGCCAAGCTGACCATATGTGTTTGTTCCGCACGTATAGACATGGCCTTTTCTTGTTAGAAAGGCTGAAAAGTTATGTCCCACAGAGACCTGAAGAAAATTTACATGCCATAATCAACAAGTAGTCTATCAGTTTAAAAACAATAACCAGCATGAATACATGCTTATGGAGGATTCTAGGGGGTTGAAATCCCCCTCTTCTGTAATATTTTATTCCATTAATGAAATGTGTTTCCATTCAAAAAAATAATACAGGTATATTAAGGCACGCAGTTGTCCACTTGTTAACTACAATCCAATTCTAACTTCAGCCCGTAATTCTCTTAGAATGTTCATCTTTTGCTGTCATTCTCTCATCTTCTTTCCTGCTTCACTTTCAGAGCCATCAGAGGAAATTTTTTCCTTTCATAATTTCATCCATCAATGAAATTGTTTCTTATTAAAAAAAAAAAAAAAAATCTAGAGCCGTCAGAGATCCTAGAACCCCTCAGACTATTCTGCCATTCGTCTTGAAGTGAATTCTCTTTAAGACCTAATCCCACTGGGATTTGAAAACATACAACTCTAATATCCCAGATTTCTTCAAACATCAGAGGGCTGGTGGGATAATTTGGTTGATGAAAAGTCGGGCTAGTTTTTTGTTTGAAATTTTTGGGATCTCAACCCCCAAAAAATGACTGTCACTTGCATTTATCATATACATACTTGCAATCACATCATATTATAACACATATAAATAAAAACACTCTAGTACATGGATATTAATAAAAATACTCTAGTACACGGATATTAATAAAAATACTCTAGTACATGGATATTAATAAAAATAAACCACAAGGAAAGGTTTATTCCAAGGAAAAAACATTTCTTGCTAGCCATGTCAATCTGTATTATGACGTTGCAATTAAATGTGAAATTCAAACAAATCATGGAAGATACATATGGGCAACTAAAACAGAGATTTTAAGCATTTTACCTGCTTGCATGGAATTCCATTTAATCCTTCAACAAGTCTAGGTCTAAAGATTTGAAAGCTTGTATCTCTGTGTCCACAACAAAATGATGAATTATCTCCACACGTGAAAACCTATTGATGAAGACAAGGCATAGGATCATCAAAGACCGTAATTGAGAGTGACATCCATGAAACCATGAACTACAGTGCCAATGAGTGACAAATAACTAGTGCAAAAAAATCTAGTAACAGTGATCTGCAAGTACCGGTTGCATACACTAGTAAGGCATGTAGGTATGTAACATGGAGTATAATTAGAATCAATAAAACTAAGTCCACAAACCCAAGCAAATTATGCAGATTGACACAGAATTTTAAGGTTTATTACGATTTAGAATTTTGTAAGACAGAGTCTTCAAAATCAGCTGCAATTTCCAACATGGTACTTCTAATAGTTCAAACTAAGAGCTCAATTAGGATCAAGATAGCAATAAGACTAAAAAATTCTATAATACAGGAAATCATAAACATCAATTATCTAATTCACTGACCAAATCTGTAGAGCAATTTAGACATCTAAGTGCGTGGTCTATTTGAGAACAAAAGATATTAAAAATATATCCGTATATGAAAAGCAGAGAGAGAGAGAGGGAACCCGTTGTGAGGCACAAAATCTGTATCAAGGAGAACCAATAACAGTACATAACAGTTCAAACATAGTACGTATTATAATATAGATCAAATCCAACATAAGATTCAATTGTTTACCTCTCCTGACTGTGTGACAAAAGCAGCATGATTGTGAGAAGCAGAAACTTGTTCAACATATACAGAAGGTGGAAAGTTAATTCGGGTAAATGATACACATTGAGTGGTCTCAGCGCCATGGCCAAGAACACCACATAAGCTGGAACCACATGAGTATACTGATGCTTTGCTAATCAGTAATGTATGATATCTTCCAGTTGCAATCTGCATCTGCTATAAAATAAATAGGAAATAACTTCAAATTCTCTTCCACAAATAAAAAGTATAATCAACAGCAAACAATCAAAATCATATCTTCGACACAAGATTTTTTAATTTTTTAATTTTTTTACATCTTACAGGTTGAGTAGAGGAGCATTACCTATGACTGTAAAAGACACTGTTAGCTACTATGCTCGTTCAATAGAACAATGCAAACTCTACATGTACTACTTAGTAACAAGTAAGGTCATATCTAGGTAAAACCCATTCTATTGTCTCATCAACAAGTTCTCCACTCTATTAAAAAAAAAAAAAAAAAAAAAAAAAAAAAAAAAAAAAAAAAAA